TGTTCTTGACATGACTGAGTTGAGTTAATGGTTCATAGCTTCTGAAAAGGTAGGTCTCTTTCCTCATTCATGCCTGCAATCTACACCATCCCTTTTGAAGCCTCCGGGCCTCCTCCTGTTGTCTGATAAGTGGATTCGGATCATTACCCAACCTAAACAAACAAACAAACCCCAACAAACCACCCACAGAAAACAAAATATACAAAAAACCCCAAACCCAAAACTCACTAAAAGTGAAGGAAGCCATGAGATGGCTTTATCCTCTTGAAACCATACCCCCAGAATTTGCTGATCTTCGTGTAGAAGAAATGTGTCTCCTTACAGTCTTATCTATAGTCAGTGGGTAGTAGGGTGACATTTCAGACGATTATTTTAATTTGTATACTCTAGCAGACAATTATTCATGGTTTTTTTTGTGAGGTGGATGTTCTGGAAATTTAGGGTGTAGACGGTAGCTTGAGTAAAGCTCCATCAAGTCTTGAAGTTGGTACAAGCAAAAGACCTCATCACGTAGCCAGCATGGAGTTAATTTTAACCCTCTGTGGCAGTACAGCTCTGGAGAGATTTAGTTTCTTGTATCTAAATTTTCAAGAAAACTCTGTTAATAGATAACTGCTTGCTCAAGGTTGCTCAGGAGATAAGACAGGGCAGAAAACCACAGCAGAATTCTAGATTTTTACCCTAATGCTCATCTGAATATTTTTTTGAAGAAAAAAGGAGAGCGCTGCGTAGGAGCTCCCACCTATGGGAGGTGGTGGTTCCTGACTCTGGGAGGCCCTGCGCCTCCTGCTCAGAAGAACAATTCAGTATGTTTCATAATTGTAGAAACTAATGTCACATGTGCCAAGATAGTGATCCCCAAAGTCTTGCATTAGTACACTTGGTACACAGTGCCTAATGCTGGCTCCTGGCCCAGTCAGCTTTTCTCTGTCCTTTGCTTAAGGCACATTTTAGCAGTTTTTTTTTTTCTTTGCAGACAACAGTATCACGAATGCCAAGGTAACTTAGTGGTTGCTTACTTTAATGAGAGACAATGAAACCAAGGCATGACTGAACAGGCATGTCTTGTTCTCAGGCCGTATTAATACAGTGATATCTTGAGAATCTAATTTCTGTAGGTTTCCTTTATTTGGAATAAGCCGCGTCTGTGTTCTTTTTTAATAATCCATTGTGATTAGTAAAGAAAAAGACCATAAGCCAGCAGCATTAAAAATAATTTGGGATGTTTGTTTTGTTTCAATAGCTGTGAAAAACGTTGGGAAGAAGGCTGCTTAAAGTATTGGTAATCCTTGAATTTCAAGGACTGTTTTTATACTAGTTCAGACAATAATGGCAGTAAAGAGAAGACAGCTGGAACTGTATAAACGTGTGTTGAGATAGAGGTAGACAGATATACACACCTATATATTTATTAAACAAGGATTTGAAACATTGTTCTTTTATAGGTAGTGGAATTATTTGGTTCTTAGAATTTTTCATAATATTTGAAAAGAACTCTGAAAAAAAATTTACCAGGTCTTTTCCAAAAACATGTTCAATCCTTTATGGAAGAAAAAGGGAGGTAACCACACACAAATAGGAGTAATAAGCAGCTGTTGAATCTGGAAAGTTATTGTGTGGTATAACTTGGTTTTGAGGGTCACCTGGTTTGGTTTCTTTGCATGTAAATGCAATAGATACTTCAAAGTTCTTTTTAGGGACTTAGAATGCAAGATGAGTATCTCCTAAAGCTACCGAGTCTGAGTCATATGAAAAGTTCCTTCCCCACCAACTGCTTTCAGTACTATACAAATCAGTGCTTGCATCCCTTTTTTTTTTTTTATTCAGTCAGAAAGACTTTTGTGGCTTTTGAGCTTGATAAATTTGGCTTTCAATCTGCTGATACTTTCCAATGGAGTCAGACAAGCCTAGTGCGGGTGTTTGGCTGTAAAGATTTCATTGTTTTCATTCTTGTTTTTCCTGTCAACAAATATAGCTGATCTAGCCCATTGCACAAAGTTCATATTTCCTTACTATGGAATAAGTTCAATATTGAGCCCGGAAAATATTTTC